CTCTTGTACTGCAACTGCCACGGAAAATGCATCTCTGCAGATCCTCTTGAAATGTCCCAGGCCTGCCGACGCGTTTGAAACTGCTACAAAACCCTCACGTTTTGCTCACTTTGGGCAGGGTGCAGAACCCCTTGCGCCTGCCACACAAAACGACACTTCAACGTCCAAAAGCGGCGCGAACATGTGGTGCTCTGTGCATTTTGACTTCGAAATGCTCGCTGCAACGGCGTGCACTTTTTGAACATCTCAACTTCCAAAAGTGGTCCGAACCTGTCAGTTTTTAACACTTTTGACTTCGAAATGTGCTTCGCACCACAACGGCGTGCAATTGTTCATCTCTCATCTGGCCAGATGGCTCAGCGAGCCTACTTTTCGACCCTGCGGAGCCACAAATCATTGGAAAAACACAGTGAATCGCGGCTTTCCTACCTTTTTCGCGCGCCTGCATCTTCTTTCTTCTGACTCTTTCTCTTCGCTGATCTTCTCTTCTCTGACGCTGCCCACCTCTGCTTTTCCATCTCTCCATATTGTCGGAAGTTTGACTTCTAAACTTCCTTCGATAAGTTAATCTGTACTTTTTCTGTAAGTCTCTGGGCTTTGGGCATGAACTTTTCTTGTGATCAGAGCAACAAATTTCGCTGAACCGTTCAAAAAAATCATAATTAAACGCTTTCGCTTCCATAGGCAGTGCTCGAAATGGATTTGCCGGCCAGTAGTAGCATGTAATAACAAGTAATAACCATGTGACCATGTGTATTCCCGACAGTAAAACACACCATCATCAAATAAAGGGCTGCAATAGCTGTCTGGACTGAACGAAAATGTGTCTGTAAGGAGCCTCATCATTCAACAGCCGGACACAAATAGATAAATATCGCCTGAGAAAAAAGAATCCTGCCCTGCTATTTGGATATCCTTTGTGCCAATTGAGTCTTAAGCACCCAAGAAACTACCAACATCCAACGACGAGCACTACCTGCGAGCCTCCAATAAACTCCATCAGCTTAATCTGTGGCTCAATCTGTGGCGTCCCTGCAGAAACATAGGCGCATGTAGTCTTGGAACTTGTCCTTATTAATGGCCATCGCCTCGCCACCTCAAACGGTTCCAACAAAGCGCATGGGCTGGCAAGCTGGCGGCAGGGCAGTTCTTCGCACCGCAAAACATCCCAAAGCAATGCGAAAATGCAGCTCTCAGGGGGCCCTTGGCACAGCCCATGCCGTATTCCCCGATGGCATTCAGCTTCTGTTTGCGCTCGAAATCCATTTCTCAGAAAGCATCTCAAAACCATTCAAAACCCAGCAGCGCATGGCACCACGGCAACATTTCCTGGGGAACCCAGCTACGCCCTGTCATCTTTCCTTTTGACTTCACCTTGAAAGGCCAGCTTTGCAATGAGATGCTACATGGCTGCTTTAGCAGCTTTAGCATGCTCAGCACTTGGCAGGTTCTATTTTGCCACAAAGATAGTGTCTGCTAAGAGAACTTTGGTGCATTGGTGGATAGTCTCCTGGATAGTGCTTTGACTTGTTCTGAGCTTGCCCTATAGTCAAGGATTCAAAAAATAATGGAAGCTGATTTTAGGCAAAGGTTCTACCTGCTTACTCAGGCCTCAGCTGTTCATTTCAAACTTCGCAGGTTGAAGCCCAATATATTCTGCACATGTTCGCCATGTTTGCTTGTCACTGTTGCACTGGCTTATCACTCAACTTCTTTGCTTGCACTTGGCTCTGTGGATCTCTCGCGGATGTGGGATTTTCGTCACCTAAGGCAGCGACCCAAACGAAGTAGCCGCCTTTAGGCTGGTAGACCTGGCCGTGACCACCAGACCTGTCAGACCCTCAGATACCTATCAGGGCGGTAGAGGTTCCACCTGGATCGTAGGACACATGGCATGATATGCTGATCACATGATCAATCATTTGCATCATTATGTCTATTGTACTTTCTATCACAATATGCTTGACTTAATATCATATAGTTTATAGTGTTTAAAGCGGATTCTTTATACAGTATATGTCTATATTTGTAGATTCATGGATGATCAACCCGGAATGCACCTCCAGTCCAACCTCCCGAAGCTTCTGGCAGATGAACTTGCACCTGGCATCACAAGTTGCTACAAGGTGCTCCAACAGCGGGGACACGTTCAGATTATTCAGCCCTACAGCAACAAAAACGGGATTCTCCATCCCTACAAACCAAAGGAACTTGCAAGAAAAGCAAAGGAAAGCAAGGACAACACCGTTGGTTTCAGGACTTCACCCACACAGTGTCACCGGAATGACTGGCACTGAACGGCACCTCTCGCCGAGATCTTGTGAGACCTTACGATAATCCAAGTGTTGTCCAAGAGCCCAATGGTTCGCACAAATTGACAATGGATTTCCATGATTCGGGCATGAGAAAATCTGTTCAAATTGAGGAATGCGAGCAGAACTTGAAGAATCGCATTCATGTAAATGTAATGGACATCCCTTCAGGTTGCCTTCTGCCTCGAGAGCACACTGAATGGCACTGAGGCGCTTACAGCATCGATGTGCTTGGCCAAAGCACCTGACCTTACGAAGCATCACGAGGCCACACCGACATCAAGACACGTGACACCAGGCATCAAACATCTGCTGCCGTACCATTGGCTACTGCGCACCTTTTATAGAGTTGTCGGCCATTTTGTGCAATGTTGTGTTACAGTACATGTTGTTACGCTTTCCTTCTCGCAATGGCATGTGAGAAGTCAGAGGTTTCAGGCTCGACGAAGTGGAGCAAGTTCATCGAAGAGAAAATCACTGGGTTATTGCCTCGAGACAAAGAAACGAGGCTTTCCAAACCTGCTGAACACGATCGAACATATCAAAAGTATCTAGATAATTCTAGCTTAGATATATCTAGACTCGAAAGACTTGTGGCTGAGTTCTTAAATGATATGTTGGACCTGGATCCCAGAAAGCACCTTGGCAACAAGATATCAAATCTTAGCATCCCTAGCATTCCGTTACCGTTACGAAGGATCCAAAAGGATCCAAAAGGATCCGAAAGGATCCAAAAGGAGGATTCGACTTCGCAAAATATAATATAGTTTATATAATATGTTTTCACTTGTTTTCAGAATGCCCAGCTCTTGGATGGAGAAAACATCAGACCAATTTATGAATCGATGGCACACGACAGGTTTGAGTTGCTTGCCGCTGTCGATGAAGCCAACGTTTGTCAACGGCCTCAATGGACTGAGAAGTGGCACCAAAGCACGTTTCATTTCTTTAGCAGGCCAACCCTGGAATTCTACGGCAAAGCTCATCAACGCCGGTTTTCCTGGCTTTGCTGCTTTTAGGTTGAGTAGTTGGTTTTGGATATCTTTCATAAGTCTTTGCAAACCCCACCGCATATTTCTTTGTTTTCTCACTTCCCCAACAGGAGGACGAGTCGCTTAATATCTCCCCTTCAGACCTCATGAAAATGCTGCTTCCTATCCATATGTAGTCCAATCAGCAATAGCTTAACATAATATATGCCAAGGCCCCCAAGCACCCTTGCTATACATGTTTGCGATGTAGAAGGAGTGTGCAATCGATGCCACAGCTGCAAATAGCACCAGTATATCTTTGTCTCGGAAGGATACGGAGAATGCTGTCTGCAAGATATGCGACATGTTGTGTGCTTCCTTCCAACTCTGATTCACAGTGAAGGGAGATCCCCTCTTCTGTAGCATAATCTAGCCCAGCATTTGCATTCTTTTGGGCTCGGAAACCAACGAGGCAATTTTGCAAATCAGCGACATTCAAATCACATTCAAGTGAATTTGCAACCTTCGTTGATCGATTCTTCTGATTGATCTCTAAAGCCTCAAACGACCAATGCAATCGGCTGCAATTCGAGCGACTTCAGCAAGGAATTGTGGGCTTGGACCCAACCCACCTTGCAAGGCTTTCACAAAGCCGGCACCCGACAGGTTGGGGAAACTTTCAGTTCAGATCGTTTCAGTACTTTCAATGTACAGAAAAAATCGAGGCACACAGTCACATAATGCACATGTCACTTCCTGTGCCGTTTCTGGGGTGTCATGTGGTCCCTGTTCGACACATCTTCCACACATTTGGACATGACATGTGGGAAATGTGAGCAGTGTTCAAAACTGTTTTATCATTCGATTACACTAGGTTATTCCAACAGCAGTGACTGTTGAGTTTCAATCTCTGGGTCCAGGAATGGTGCGCCGCTTTTGGTCGGCGCTGAAGACTGGAAATCCTGGAACTCTGAACCTGCTATTGAGTTGCACAGCTGGGTTAATGATAACCAAAATATTGCGTAGTCAACCAACAGGGCGTTTAGCAGCCACTGCTCATATGGTACTGGACACTGTGCGCATTGTGGGTCGTGTGGATCATGTGGCGCATCTTGATGGGACCTTGGTTCCAGGGCCGATGAGCTTGGAGAAGGTGCCGATGGAAAACACCCGCCTCAAAAAGTCTCAGAACTCTGCCGTCAGATCTGGGTCAGTGGGTCAACTCTACATACAGAACTATGATACATAAACAAATAAATAAATATATATATATAAATAATAATGATAAATAAGAATAACAATAATGACAATAATAATCATGATAATGATAATAATAATAATGATAAATAATAACAACAATAATAACAATAACAATAATAACAATAATAACAATACTAACAATAATAACAATAATAACAATGATAATGATAATAATGATAATCATGATAATAATGATAATAATGATAATAATGATAATAATGATAATAATGATAAAAATGATAATAATGATAATAATGATAATAATGATAATAATGATAATAAGATGAAGAAGAACAATAATAATAACAATAACAGTAGCAATAATAAAACTATATATATTGTGAACTGTGATAGTGATGATGCCAAAATATGTGATAGTGGGCATGAATATCCATATGTTATCCGTATCTGTATCTACACGGGGGAAACCTGTGAACCAGCAATGAGAAGTTGGGAGTGCTATTATTCTGGTGGTTTTATGGCAGCCAGAAAGAAGCAGGAAACCCTAAAGTTCTTGAAGAATCTCTCCAGGATGCAAAAGATGCGCAGGATGCTGAAGAGCTGGCATAGCACATATTGGGGCGAAGTTCATCGACCACACTGCGACAGATCATGTAGATCCTTTGGCCCTCTAACAATAACATCCTCTACTTCCTTTTCTCCTTACTTTCCAACTGGTCCCAAATGCGTCACACAGTGTCTGATGTTTTGCATTGTTTCTTGATATCCCATGTGCATCTTGGAATCTGAGGCACCGTACGGATCCTCCGGGTCATCGTGGTAGAAAAGCGGCTTGATCTCAGCACGGTCGAACGCTGGGAGTTGCTGGCAGTTGCTGGAACTCTGACCACCAGTCGAAGTCGTTGAGCTCCAAACATCGAGTTTCTCGAAGTTCAACAGCTGATAGGCTTCATCGGCCACCACGAAGAACTTGTGTTTCCTAAGCAGAGAAAAACAAAAAAAACAATTTGGATCAATTTGGCCAATTGCTGTCAGAGAAAGAGAGAAAGACTTGCAAATGTGTTGCACTGGTGAGCAACCATGGCATGTGATGGTATGCAAATACCCGAGCCCAAACACCTTCGTCACAGGAGCTCAACAGAACCGTAGTTGCTTGAAGAGGGCACCACGACGCTCACAAGAGTTCACACATGGTTTCAAGCTCGCAGAGCATGTCTTTTGTGAAACATCATTTCAAACACAATTCGAGTCTTGCAGCTGGAGCTGCTAAAGCTGCCAGTAGCCCGGTGAAGCCTCGGGCATCTGTTGACCTCTCTTATTTCTTCTCGCGTCTTTCAAGTCTTCAGACTGCAATTGAAGAAGCTGTTGGTTGGAAAGTTTCATTGTTTGTCTGAGAGTCTGCTGCACGTGCTCCAGGTCTTTCAAGCAGTAGACTTCCCGGCTGCTAGATGGTACTGGTGCTCGACGATCTCTCAGGGCACGGCGTGTTGCAAGCTCCACCCGCTCAGCCCTTCTCGGATCACCAAATATCCAGAGGCCTACCATGGTCTTGAAATGGAAATCTCGAAATGCAGCGTGCTTGGCGTATGACCTGATTGGCCAGTCACCTGGAGATTCCGGAAATGGATAGTTGTTCCCGCCCGGCTCCAATGCAGTAACAGTCATCGAGCTGATCGTCGTCACGGGGCTCTCCAGCAGCGCTTCTCCAGTATCCTCCAGGGCAATCAAATGAATGAGGCCGTAGCTGTAGAGAGAATCTGGACGACCACGATGCAGCAAGAAGCTGGTCATGGCTGATTTCAATTCGGCTACCACGGGCATCATCAGTCCATGCATACGGGGACGGGGACGTTGTTGCTTGAAGAGGGCACCACAACGCAGGGCGTAGATGATAGCGTTCAAATTCTTCAAACGCATCTTCCACATTGCCACCCAAGGTGGTCAGAGCCTTGCACAACATATCCCTTTGTCATTCTATCCCCTTACATTCTAACAGTATATTCTAATTATTTTTGAACAAGCATGAAGAAAACGTAATATGAATCACGAAGCCAAACCTCAGATGCGCGCCAGAGCTGGAAGCAGAGTGAAAAACATGCTCCCTGTGGCGTTATGATTCCAAGAGCCACTGAGGTGAAATACTTCAAGGAGGATTGGTTCAGGGAAAGCACATATAGACATCTGAAACACAATCAAGATATGCTCTGCATGGCGATCCCTGTAGCTTCTGGTGCGGCTCCGGCTGAGATCTGTCCCTTCTGACTCCAGCATCCTGGCTGCGCTGGTCTCAGCAGGCACTGGTGGCAGCTCCATCATCGCCCTTTGTAGCTCCCCGTGCTCTGCCTCTCTTTCTGCTTCTGCCTTCAACTCTCTTTCCACCTGAGTGAGGTAGCCAGGAGCTATATGGTTTGGGCTCCATGGAGCTTCATTTCCAGTCCTTACCGGACCACCAGCTGGAGCCGCAGAGAAGTGTGGGCTTATATCGATTCTTTGTTCCAAGGGCTCGTTGCCCTGAACCAAGCCTCCTTGAGAGGAGATCAATGGATTGGCTGATGCCAATTGACATGCTTTGAGCCTGCAGCGGCTCTTGGAAACATTCACACCTCAGAGTCAATCTCACAGCTGTTTTGCCATTACAATTCCATTGCAATTCCTATAGCTTTGCTCATGTCATCCGACTGTGTTTGAGGACTGCTTTCAAAGCATGACAGGTAGCCGCCAGTTTCTGCTCATGTCCATTGGATCCTGGTAATAGCTTTACTCCCTCCCAAACGACATAAACGACATAAACAAGGCATAAACAACCATTGGTGCGGAACAGACATAAACAACCACATACTCACTGCGCAGTGCTTGAGCATTGGTGCGGCCGCACTGTGGCGCCCATTGTGAGGATTGCATCGAGGATGATTCAGGATGCAAGTCTTGAGTGGCGCCACATGGCCCACCGAGGGCTTGTTGAAAGCCTCTCCTTGTTCGGTGGTTTGTTTGTAGTCACATTGTTTTCCACTTGGGCCGGGTACACAGTCACCCTGAGACACATCTTGGACAGGTCCCAAGGACTGCTGTTGATTGCATGCAAAATAGATTCTGCCTACAAGATGCAAACGCAGGGAAGAAGGCACGCTTCATGATCACGGCACACCCGGGCTTTGTTCCATTGCCGACCAATGTGGCTGCTAGTAGCTTCCAATCCGGTCATGGAGTTCGCCCGATCGGGGAACATTGATACCGAGAGAATTCGGACAGAAAGCGTGCCTAGCGGCATGTCCATCTCTCTTGCGATCGACGAGTTCTTCCATATGGTCCCGGCTCTTTTGGGTATGGTCCACAACCAACCAAAATAGTATAAAATAGTCACATTTCAAGCAATGCCCTGTTTTTGTTTCAATATGTTTCAATATGTTTCAATTAGAAGTACAATAACTTAAGTTTTGTCTCAACGACGAACACACCTCGACAAAATACGTGGCCCAAAGCTCAGGACTTGGACCCAAACTTCGCCAGTTGCATCAGCTTTACCCTCTTCTCGTTGGACATGGTGTAGCCTCACGGGAAAACAAACACATTTCCTGGGAGAAGATAACTTGATTTCTTTACAATTCTTTACATGTGCTCGTGTTTTTTCAAAGAGAAAACATGACATATGTCGAAGAATCACTTGCAAATCTTGCAAACAACTTGGACATCAGCAGCAGTTGCATTGCACACGGGCCAGCGAGCTTTGCACGGTCAAGTTCCATAAAGTCTCCACCAAGGAGGCAACACAGGCACACACAAACATGAAACAACATAAAACCTTACAGAAACCTTACAGTACATGGTCGTTTCATTTGTTTCAGCAGCTTCAGACTCCAGATCCGGCATGCGTCGCATGAGAAAACTGCAAAAAGGAATGTCGACGGCCGGCCTGTTGGATTGTGGTGAATGCACCTCGACTTCAATGTGATTGTCCAACATCTGCTAGAGGCTGCTAGAGGGCACGATCAATCGCCAACAGAACCAGTTTCTTCTGAAAGGCTATGAGAACAAATTTTACGTTCAGTGGTAAATTGGTAAATCGAAAGCCATGGCTGCAAGATTGAGCTTCGCGATATTTCGTGATCTGGAAAGCAGCCTCCCACAACTTTCAGACGTATATATTCAGATGATTTCAGACGTATCATGACGTATCATAATCTCGCTTAGTCATCACTTAGTCATACTTTTACGTCCACTTTTTCTTTGAGTGCCAGGCACGGTGTAGACCTCAGGGGAAGTAGAAGACAGTATCCGCGCAGTGCTCATGACGGGAAAAAGAAAACTGTAAACTGTGCCACGCAAAAAGCCTGGCAAGAGGCAAGGTCTTCGCAAAGGTTGAGGTTACACTCTCTCACGTTAAGGGCATTTATGGCGTCGTAGTGTGTTCCTCTGTATTCTTTTGTAAGAAAGCACTGTGAAAGCAGGAACAGAAAAGCGTTGGAAAACAGGAGCCTTTTTCCTAGCTAGATACTTAAGGGCAAAGATCTGGAAACACAAGGAAAGCTGGAAACCACCTCCACCCAAGGTGAAACTGGGTCAACAATGGTCAAAGCACCTACTACCAAAGACAAGACACCATACCAAAACTTTGCACTTTCGATAGCACTTTCTTCTTTGGGCCTGGCTGATGCTACCTGATTAGATTTGCGTTGACGTCCTGTGTCTCCATAATCTTCACACACCTTCTTGATCCTCTTTTAGCCTCTTTCGCTTCTCTTCCCCAACAAAACCGTGCATCCTTGCGCCTGTAGCGACCAACAGTCTGTTCGACTCCCCATAATTAAAAAAAGATTAATCACACCCCGCTTGAAATTGTTCGTAATATGTCTAGATGCTCATTCTGAGTCGCGAGATAGCACATGCAAACGAACGCAGCGCTAGTGGATCGTACATTAGAGTCACATGCGCTAGTATTGTTGACCATCTTGTATAATTAATGAAACGGCAACCGTGTAGATCGACGGCAGGTAATGATAGTATTTGTTCCACATTAACTTACACACTAACAAGCAGTCACACTTTTAATTTTAAGTATCCAACATGGGGTATTTTATGAGGACTGTTTGTGATCATTCCAGTTCGCATAAATGGCATAACCCAGCGACCCCGATGCATGGGGCCATGTTCACTACTATTTTTTACGATCGTCGTGTGAATCACGACAATGTCGATAATCATGATGAGAATCCGCTGATTTAATTACACATGTTACACATGTTACACGTGTTACACATGTTCAAACGTGTAACGCACGATTTCAAGACTCTTTCACACGTTGATAGTAAAATGACTTGAAAACTTAGCACAAGGCCACAAGGCCAAGTGATTAGAGGACGATCATGTTAATGAAATGACAAATTGGCGTGAAGTCCACAATTCATCACCCCGCTACAGGATCCTGCAAGTTGGATTAGTCGCTCATGCTCAATCTTCCACCCCCTGCAAATACTAGTTCAGTTTCTCGGCCTTCAATGCTTTTCCAACGCTTTTCCAACGCTTTTCCAACGCTTTTCCAACGCTTTTCCAACGCTTTTCCAACGCTTTTCCAACGCTTTTCCAACGCTTTTCCAACGCTTTTCCAACGCTTTTCCAACGCTTTTCCAACGCTCTTTCAGAGCCAGGGGATGGTTTGACTTGGACATACTTGGACCCATGTAACCCTGGAAGCCAAGTTGAAAGGCTTCTGCTCTCCATCTTGATGTCTATGTATATAGTATTATATAGTTCTATGATTGTCGTATGATTGTCTATTTGTCTATGTATGTCTATGTAGTTCTCACGGTGCGAATCCTCGGGGTCTGAGCTCGCAACAAATTTCACCTTACCCGCGCTCTCGGTGCAAACCTTGTCCAGCCTCAGCGTAGGACAGCTTTATGCTTTGCTTTATGCTTTGCTTTATGCTTTAGTTGGACAGATTCAACATATTCAACATATTCAAAGTGGGTCACTGCGTGTGGCAAATCAGGAGTCGCATATCGCCGAGCCACGCATCCAAGTCCATGCCGTCTTCATGGATTGGCACACCCTTCCTGCGACCAGATGTTTGGATATGGAACATGTTTAGTATCTTTTCGTATGTGTTTGATACATTTATATAGATATTGTTTTACTGTGTTTAATTGTGTTTGATGTGTCATTTGTTTTCTACTTTTCCCAACGCCTTCAGCTAATTCCCTTGTTGCGCATGACTTTGAATGGCAACGCCTGTGTCCATTGGAGCAGATTCTCATGGAATTGCTTCGTTTTCTACGCATTGAGTAAGCTTGAACAAGAAGTCAAGCGCATAAAATTGATCTCTCCTGTACGCTACTCAGGGCATTCGCCCCTGCGACTGCGCCTCTTTGAGTGAGAATGAAGAACTTGCGGTGATCATTATCATATCACATAACATATCTATCCAGATCATATAAATACATAGAGAGGGAGCACTTAAATCATCTCAACGCCGTTCATAACATGTTTTTCCTAGCGGGGTGAAAACTGCGCGTGTGGTCGCGTACATTGTATGAACATGGCCTGGGGTGGGGTGGGGCCAAAAAGGTTCAATTGCACTTGCACACATACGTCATGCTATGCTACAAACACCTGCTGTCACATACATCATGCTACGCTACAAACATCATGCTATGCCATGGACGCGATGTGGAAACTTTCAAAGCAACCAACAATAATTGGAAGACGCGCGTCGGTGGCAGCCTTAACCCCAAACTCCTTGAAGGGGTGCGGGTCTTCCAGTGGCGTTGGCAAAATGGTGATAAGAAAGACTTGATGTCAATCACTGGTCGCGCTTTGAGCAAGCAATCGACTGAAGAAATGAGAAGCGGAAAAACGTTGTGCTTTGAAGACGTGCCCTACAAAAACCCATAGCATGTTACAATATGTTACAATGGGTCTCCAAAATCTCCGGGATTTTCAGATCTATCATGAAATGACTACGGCGCTGTGGCGCCCAGCAAATTTACTGCTAGCGCGGTTGCCACTCCGGATGTTTTGGAACAGGACACTACAAAGGCAAAACCTCTCACAGGTCCTCCCAAATCCACCCATAAGGCCCCGGCAAGTCCATGTAAGAATTCCGGGCCATTGTAAAAGCTAAAAAATAGGTGGGTTCCTGGCACAGTGACGCCGCACTCGCAATCCAACATGATTTCTGGCAATATGCTGGAGTGAAAGAGTGTCGGCACAAGATCACAAAAGCATCCTGAAGATAGGATTGTGTTGTCACATTGTCGTAGTGTGTCGATCATTATCTAATAAGTGCTGATGTATGTTATGTAGATGTTGTGAAATGTTATGGAACCTTACTGTTGATGTCCATGAGATGTCCATGTTCCGTTGGCGCAGCTCAATCTTGGACGCCTCGAAGACACAGATGTCGCCAGGCTGCAGCGGGGAAGTCGATGGGATATCTCAAGATATTGCAAATATAACACTGTTATACTGTATAACATGCTATGATACAATATGAAACACTGACACAATGATATGATCTGGCCGTTTATACTATTAACTAAAAACAAACTCTCTATATATATATATATATACAATGTATATATATATATATGAATTAATATTAATAATTATCAATATAATCTATATCACTTTATATCAAACGATCAATATAATCTGCGCCAATGGTCCAGGGCAGAATCGACTGGGCATGAATCTGAATACAACATAATACAACATAATACAACTAGAATGTCTGTATGAAAGGTGAACTCCGTGAACTCCCTTCTCGACTTGATTCACGGAGTATGCTTGGTATTGCTTGGTGAGTGATGCCATCTCAATCGCTGCCATAGCGATATGATGCTAAGCATTCCATAAGCATTCCATATTCTCCCATCCTCCTGGCGATCTGAGATCCTCCCGCACCTTGGCATAGGTTCGCATGGCCAAATCAATGCCTTTGCAGGGCGAATCTGTGCCGAAAAAAGACTGGAAAAGCGACGTTGGATCACAATATAATGCATTATATATAAACCTACGTAATTATATATATATATAAATAGAGATACATTGTATACATTGTAGTAGTTCAAGATCTGAAGTTCAAGATCTGATTCACATGGAATGGCTATGTTCGGAGTTGTGGAGGAGACATCCTTCATGGTGACATCCACCTGTCACAACTTGTGCATATCCACTGAAATTCAAGCCAGGGCAGCTCCAGGTCCGCCGAGTATGGTTGAGCCATGTTGATATGAATCGGCCGAGATTCACATAGTTTTTTAAGCGCATTTTCGTTTCGCTATTGCTTGGGGTCCTGACCCATCGATGCACCCACCGTGCTCATCAGGGTCTTTGGATCGCAAGGCCTTGACTGGCAAAACTTGAGACACCATGAAGTGATGACGGAGACTCACTGACAACTTCACAAAATACACCAAAATACCTGAAATAGCCGTCCAGCAGAAAACTCAAATGACAACTGCACTGAGCGGAGAAAATGCAATTGCAAAACATTTCAACCATTTTCAAATATGTTCAACCCACTCGTTTGCAGATCTCTACAGACTCTACAGGAGCGGGGCTTCCAGAGCAAAGCTATTCTGGGCCCTGCAAGGCGCCCGAACGCTCCATACTGACTTGACAAGAACTTTGCCAGGCCCTGCAGAGATGCTTAAAACGGAAACATCGGAAACTAAGACAATCGCACAGAGATCAGAAAAGATCAGAAAAGATCAGAAAGGACCCAGAAGTCACGTGTCAGTCCGCTATTTGATTTATCTGATCAGGAAGGACCGAAAGTGGGGGGCTTCTGGCTGCTTTTGACACGTTTTTCATCATGGACGGAAATCAGGACAGCCTGATGCCCACGGAGTATCTGCAAAGAAAAGGGACATCAAAACAGTGCACAAGTCTTTCATCCCTGAACGTGATGAAATCTACGAATCTCCGACATATCAAGACTTGTCCGACTGTTTGATTCGTCCATGCGACCCATGCGATGGTTTTTGTTCCGGGCGACCTCGAGAAATCGTGGGTGTCCGAGCATGTAGGCGCCATTTGCCTGGCGCAGACACAAGAAACCTTCGGTGGATTCGGTATCATACTGTATCATACTGTATCATATGAATTCATAATTAATATATATATATATAATTATAATATATATATATAATTATTGAATTATATGATGATTCAGTATGGATTGAGGGATTCAAAAGGCACACTGATACTCTCAAGTCCAGGTTGGCCTTCTGGAATCTGGACTGTGTGAGGCAGAGACATGCTGAGATCGTTTGGGGGAAACGAGAACCATCCGATGACATCCTTAAACGCTTGAAATAAATAGCTGAAGTCGTCGGAAGGTTTTTAATCATGACATATCATGACCTAGACAGCTTGACAGCTTCAAGCAGGCCTTATCCCCATAATTCAACGTCTCCTCAGACATCTCCAGTCCTGGTGAAGTCGACAATCAAAAGCAGTCGCAGCGTTGTCGCATGCTGTCGCATGTCAAAAAGGATCCGAGCACTTTCGAGCTATGGTTGCAGTTGTATAATCCAAATGTGGAAGGACACACATCGTGATCTGTTTTGATCAGAGGCACGTTGTCTTTGGCGTGCGATGCAGGTGCAATGCTCGTGCGATGCAGGTGCAATGCTCGTGCAATGTGCAACACAACGTGACACAATGTGACACAACGTGCCAAGTCTCGCCTTTTTTGAAGGATTCGGTCAAGGCGGCTCTCAACTCAGCTCTGCTGAGGAGTTCTGGATGGGGCCTCGGACAGGCGGTTGTCATACACTCTGACAATCCCTTCACGAAACATACGTTTTATGTCCATTCATTGTCTAGTTATTGTCTATTCATATATCATATATCCATGCGTTCTTTCATTAACTTTGGAGGTCGCCTAAATAGAGGACCGGCTCAACTGACGCCCTCAAGTTGAAACCTCCAGAAACTTCCAAAAACCATCCAAAACAATGAAAGCCAATGGGAAGAACAACGATTCTAATGTCTGACATGATGGGACCAAGCCGTTGAAACCATAATGCCACGGGAATCAATGCATGCAGCTGTGTTTGCCAAGCCTTTTGTCAATTTGTAGGTGTTGTAGGCTCCCCCGGCTGCTTGTGGGTTTTTGTAGGTCTACTTCGTTCTTCTTCCAGCTGCTAGCCAAAACCATGAAAAGCCCAGTAAATACACATAAAACCCATGAAAACCACAAAGAAACACGAAAACCCAACGAAAAAATTGAAAGAAAAAACCTTTTTGGGGATTGCCCCTCAAGGGTTTGCCAACTTCAGGATCTTCAGGTCTTAGAAGAGTCCACATAATTCTACATAGACAATCATAAACATAACCAAAATGTCGGCCTCTGAAAAGGAAAAGTGCGGTTTTCCCTAGGGTGCCTCTAGCCAAAAAATCAACTTGAAGCAGCCCCCTAATGAAGCACCCCCATATGCCATCCAAAGATTTACCATCTGATCATTCTTCATTCATCCTACACTATACTCGATTGCACTCTTATCTGCATCATGTGTATGGGGTGTGCATCATCTACAGTATTCCCGGTGTTTCAATTTCAGAGAAGGAAAGAACGGTTTGATACTGTACCACATCTTCAGAAGCACAAGACCAGTGTCAGCCCTCTACCACCAGCATTCATAGGCATCATTTAAAGCCGAATGTTTGAGTTTGTAACCCTTGGCCATCCAAGACAGCCCGTGTTCGATCGAAGAACTTGAAATTGACTTAATTCATGCTAGTCGAATGTGAGATGAATGATTCTGAATGATCATTCTTCATGTGTGCATCAAATTCACAAAGAACTGTGAAACGACAAAATGAGAAATGAGTGATCTGTTTATGAACTGTTGTCATCCCAGAATATCTGCTAAGAATGCTCCAAGCCGACAGTATTACAAGGAATCACAGTGCTCATTGTGCTGACTTCAACAAGTTTCCCAAAGCGTCGTAGAAGTCAAAAGAGTCAAAAAGAGTTAAATAAAATAGCTGATCGGTTGATGTCGGTTGATGTCGGTTGATGTCGGTTGAGTCTGTCACCACCCCTTGATGAAATCCTGCGCTTGGGCCTCAGGGCGGCCCAGGGTCAAACTGCTAAATGGATAATTAATATATAATATAAATACAAAATTATGATATATTATGATACGAAATTAATATCATAGAATATAAAATAAAATATTGGTTTTATTGTATATATAACTCATAATATAATAGAAATCCATGCCCGATATGCTGTATAAACGCGGGTCTGAAAGCCCTTTCGAGCTCTTTGACAACTTGTGAGATTCTAGCGAGAGACTGGCGAGAGACTCGTCATGATCTAGTGAGGCTGCTGCATCAGGAGAAAAACTTTCATGAAAGCGAAATCCTTCACAAAGATTCTTTGTCTCATTTTGTCTCTCTTGTCTTATCGTGTCTCCTTGCATCTTGCAACTCCAACTACTCGCTTGGTCCGTTAGCTGCATTTTTCATTGGGGAGCACTGATTTCGAGAACTTAAAGACGATAGCCACCAATGATGCATTTGACCGGTCATTTGCACGTTGCGCCACTTTATACTGACGGATACTGACGGTATACTTACTGAGGACCAGTAGGTCAAAGGTTGCAGTATGTCAGTATGTCGCACTTTGAGATACTTTGAGTGGTCTCGCCAGTCAATCTGGATTCTGAGCTTGCAGCGCCCTTTGGGTAGCCCGCCTTGGTCATTGGTTTCGGCTTCTCTTGGCAAGATCTTGGAATCTGCACATGAAAATCATGAAATACGACGAGAGGCCACCATAGACCACCCCGGGACTGAGAGAAACATGCAGGAGGAAAACAGCAACAAGGCTGATGGTTTGGTGAAAGGTGGTGTTTTAGTGGAAACAGCACTTTGCGGAGCTTTTGAACTGTTTTGAAGTCTGTTACTTGGATGATTCTACATATTCTACGCCTCTACGCATTACGCCAACCTTCAAATACGGGTCAAAAGTGACGTAGACAATCCCCAAAAAGATGGAACAGTTGAGTTGGACACCTGGAAATTGTGGCGAAAACATCATCTATATCGTTGATATATCATCCTCATGATGTCCTCATGCCCTCAATAGCTTGAGCACATCACCAAAAGCATATGGTAATTGTCTTGTGATCACGAGATCCACGAGCATATCTCCAGCTGCACTAGCTGCACTAGCTGCACTAGCTGCACTAGCTGCACTAGCTGCACTAGCTGCACTAGCTGCACTAGCTGCACTAGCTGCACTAGCACCTCTCACTTCTCAGACAAAATGAAACAATCGAATACATTTCGAATACCATCGAATGCAATCGACCGTCGGATACCATCGGGCTCCGTATGCTCCGTCCTGGGGATTTGGTTATCCTGGAGTTATCCTGGAGTTATCCTGTACTAAGCTACCGAGCCATCTGCCCAGCGCCAGGAAAGTTCACAAAACTTAGGAATTCGAGCCCTCAACAAATTCACGGCGATGAGTCAAGGAAGTGTGAAAATATACATTGATGATAATTGATACTTTATGAAAATGCTTAAGCAAGGCTGAAACAACGGAAAAGAAAATATGAACGACAGTAGTGACAGCAATGGTACATGATATGTGTGCCTCAACTTCACACTAACTCTGATTTCCCGAAGCGGTTTCGGATTCTCGAATTGTAGGAAAACAGGTCGAAGGAATGAAAAGGATTTCAGAACTATGAACCTGCGCAGTCTTGCAAGCTGAAGGCAATGAAAATGAAAGACTTGTGACAGCAATAAAAGAATAATTGAAGACACTGAAAGTTACATGAGCTCTCAGAACTTTCACTCATCAAGAGCTGAGATTCGCTGAGATGAAACATATTTTTCCTCTGGCGCTTCACAGTGCCGTTGGCACAATCGATACAGATGTTCGCCTGGCTGGGACAATTGGACGGTTTGGTTGGAAGATGTGCTAAGATGTTTCACCTGTTTCAACTGCTTTAACTGTTTTAACGTCAACCTTCGACACAAATGACAACAAAGACCACGTCAGCAAGTGCAATGAGGATTTCAGACATCTTCAGACTGGATCTTTAAAACGTAAGGTGCTGCCGCAGTTCCAAATTACGTGCGGCTGATGACTTTGAGGCAAATCCAGAGCTCCGAAAACTTGTAATTCCAGATCACCAAAATCTCCAAGCCAAACAAATCATAACAAATCTGCATGACTTGAAAGCTGTAGAAATGTATAGGGGCGAGCTCCGTCAACTTTGCAATACTTCTGCCGCGCACCTCGCCATCTTCAACTGCCATTTCCACAGATAGCATGCTGCCCACAGAGAGATCCATTGGCTCCTGTTTCATCAAGTACACTGCGGGTACATCACACAAAACACTGAGGTTTTGTATAGAGGATAGAATGCTCAGAATACACGATTACAAGTCTTTTGGCACATATTCTCACATCATTCGGACATTCTGCGGCATTCTTGCTTGTTTAGCTGACTCAGCTCAAGAATCTTCTTGTCACCCTGGGCAGTTGGATGTTCTCCAATGTTCTCCTCGAGCAATTGCATCGCCTGGCACCAACCATTGGGTGCCGAAGCTGGTCCTGCGCCAGGGGCATCTCAATGCATGGTGTGGCAGTGTAGCAGTGATTGGAGCACTCGGTGGCACCAAGCCTTCAGCCGTGGAACCACGAATGTACTAGAGTGTTACATAGTGTTACCAAATGTACTCGTGTCAAAACATGTCAAAACACTCACAAATGTTAAATGGTTTTGTGCTGTTCTGCCATACCCAGACGGATTCAAACGGCACAGTCAAGTCTGCCTGTGCTCAAACATGGCCCTGACGCCGTCGACACCTGTCATGCCGGAATATGCCGGACACACCCTAGCTGTATACCAAACCATACCAAACCAATTGCGTGTGAAGCGCATTGCTGGTGAATACAGGGGAGAAACTGGTTCGCCTGCCACGTTTTGGCATGTTGGAACTTGATGAGAATATGATGCATAAAAGCCGTTGTCATCCTCATGTGTTGACACATCAATTGGATGCAATGGAAAGCCTCTGCAATTTCAATGCTTTCCTTGTTCTTCCTTGGTCTTTCATTGTTCTTCCCTTTCTGGAAGTGTCTCAGCCGTCTACATCAAATTACCTAGCCACACCAAACGCTGGCGCACCTGGAATTCGGCCCAGAAGACAACAGCATGGCACCTGAATGGCTCTTGAAAATCATCAACGGTCTGTGACAAGACAGTGTAACACAGATACGACATGATTCGAGGAATGTGATTCCTCAGTACAAAAAAATGACTGAATCATGACCCATTGAAGACGTACATGTTGCTTCCGAAGCTTTGTCTTCTTTGTCTCGTCCATTTGAAGTTAGAACTTTTGTCTCAGCTTTTGTCCCGGGGCTGAGTTATCCACATGCCCTTGCTGTGAGCCTCCAACCTGTCGATTGGCGTTCAGCTTTAAACAGCCGAGGCAAAAATGTAGTCGTCCAAACTGATCGCCACACAAAGCAACAAAATGAAACAAGAACAAGGGAAGGTTCAGATGTCATTGACATTTTTGCTGAGAAACGGCTAGAGATCTGGCCATGATTTTAGCAACGGCGGCTCAATTAGCTAAGCTCTCATAGATTGTACTTTCCCATGTGTTGTTTTGAATATCTTACTCGTTTCTGTCGGTACTTGTATATGGGCATGCCTCATTCAGCTACCACCTCTCTGGCTCTCTTGATCTGCATCATGCGGCTCAATACCGTCAATACCTTCAGTATATTCTATGACGAAAGTTTCAACGACAAACAGTAAAGACTTCAGATGGTGCACAGCTATCATATAATTAGGGCTTCCACTTCCACCGTTTGAAGGCAATGGGAGCCCTATAAGCATCCTCAAAAATGATATGTCAGGTGGTAGGTAGACTTCAAATGTGTCGAAGCCAAAAAGTTTTGTTGTTTTGGGGCATGCCGGGTGAGATGGTTGGCTTTCAGAGGATTTGGGGATAAACATTAGTACAGTGATCTCGCAGAAACTCAGAAACGAATCCGCCATGTTTTTCATTACAAAAAGCTGCAAGAAATCAGCACTCCGGATTTAACGATCGAATCCGTATGAATCCGTCACCTGCATTCTCCTTGACCTTTGCAAAGGCCAGGGAGGCTAAGATGAAGAACTGCTTGTGGCCTGACATTTGAAAACTGGAGGCTTTTGGCATCTTTTGGCTTTGCTCCAAATTGAACGTCAAATTGCCACACAGCTGGTGCTGCAACCTTTTAATTGACAACCCCTATACTAGTATATACATGTATATACTAGTCGCAGTCCAAAACTAATCAATATCATTTATATAATACCGTATAATACCGTATAATACCGTATAATATCGTGTTATATGATCTATCTATCATATCACTAATTATCACTAATTATCACTAGCATTCACCACCCATGCCACGACTCTGAAAACTGCTTTCCAATGCGTCGCAGCCTGCTCAAGGGGCGCCATGCCATCTCGCAGAGATGGCACCTGTCGCACCCGGCAGATCGGCGGCTTTTTGCGGCGAACGGACATTTCGTCTTTCGTCTCTTCGCAAATATTATTAAAAATATATTAAAATATTTATACAATTTTATATAACATTATTGTGCAATATTGTGCAGTATTGATCTATCTTGTGCATGCATGTCAATGCTGTCAATTCACACTACTTCAACGGCACTTTGAAAAACCTTTAGGTAATTCCCCGTAAAAATTCCACAACGGCTACGTATTCTCTACTCTGCATCACAACAGAAATTGGCGCTGGCTATCGCTCGCTTTTAGATGCTTTTAGGGCAAAAATCAATTTCACCTAAGCACACTGTACTTTGATGTACTTTGCATGTTTCTGATTGTTTCTCTGCTGTGGATCCAATGTGATCTCCTATACGAGACTCCATGACAAAGGAAGGAACTCACAGAAATCTATGTGAAGCAGGATTGCCTGATGAGTGGTGAGCAAGAATTTGTTTTCCTGGCGATATCTAGTGAGAATGGATACAAAATGTGTTTACAGTAGAGTTCAAACCTCTGTCGAATTGCCTGATTATTCCTCAGATCAAAATGAAAAAACACGAGTTGGCCGCTCATAAGTCTGGCCAAGTTGCTCCAACGCTACTGGTCGCTCAGGCACAAGGAAGGGGTTCGCAGCCTGATGAAGTGGAAATTGTTCTTTCAATTGGCTGCTCAACAACATATAATTTTGTCAACTCGGCACATGCAAGCAGTGAGTCGATCTGCATCACTTTGCCTGTTGTCTCGGCTATGCAAACTGTGACGCAGTAACGCCCGTCTCTGTGTAGAAACGTTCATATTCATAGCCATTCATAGCTTTTATCAAATGGCAGTCCTTTAACCCAGGACCCAAGAACTCATGGAGTCGTCGTTTGAGCCCATGCCCAGTCTTTTCTTGCGTCTTCGCGATCCTCTATTTCGGGTATGAAGCGCCGATTCAGTGGGAACATCTCCAGGGAAAAATCAGTGCGAATGCAAAGTTCTTGACTCATCTCTGGATTAACAGTCATGGTACTGATGGTCTTAAACCAACCGAATGAAGCCCATGATTTAATATGATTCAATCAAATTTAATCATAGTTAATCATATTTAATCATTCAGATTTATTCAGTGCAATTTTCCTGCTTTCTATTGTCAAGCCTACCCTCTTTGCGACCTCACTTGGCAGCCTCACTGGTGTGAGAAACATGATCTGAAATGATCTGAAGAAATTGTTTAGAAGTAATGCAAAAAAAGGATGTGTTTACATTTTGATACATTTTGCATCATTTTGCCACATTGAAACAAGTTCAATCTCAGAACCGAGATTTACAGTAGGTGTGACTCCATGTGAATCAATGCACCGGAAGCCTTGCTGTCCATCAAGCAGTATACAAACTCTTTACGTGGAGTTGCCTCAAGTTGTGCATCTTTACTAATCTTTACTATAACATACTATAACTCAAGCTAAAGAACCGATGGAAACCATGAGACTTGATGAAGACTTGATAAAGACTTGATGAAAATGCTATTGATAAACTTGGTGTTTCCAAAGCAGGGATGCTCCCGCAGACGGTGCACAAGCTGAGCTGCGGAACAGGAACTTCCCCACAAGCCCCAAGGCGGGGGTTGCTCAAGCGTGCCCTGCACCCCGGTTTCAGGGCACGGTGTGTCCTGGGCAAACTCTTCAGTTTTTATCAGTCTTTATCAGGTGTTTATCAGTTTTTAGTCACATGTTGGAGTCATGTCTTTGAGCGCTTTTGCATTGATGAAGGAGTCTCTTTTGAAATTCTTGCCTGAGTGGCTTCTATTTCTGTCTATGAGAATACTGTCAGAATACCCCCGAACATCCCGAACATATATAGGTGCAATATAGGTGCACCAAAATCAATGACAGTAAAAGCCGGTCCGAAATGTCGAACACCATTTCTTGCCTGCGGCCAGATGTCCTGAATGCTTTATGTACGGAGAGGCATTATTGAGGCAATTTTCGCAAAACTGAAACTTATGTGAGGATACTGTGAGGATGTTCCGAATCGAGATTGATACCCCAACATACCCCAACATTTTGTCTGGCTGTCTGTCAACTTCTTGCACCTTGCGTCAAGGTGAAGCAGCCTTGCATGCCTTGCATAGAAACACCGTCTTGTCCGGCACCAGTTAGCAATCGCTTTAGGCAATCGCGTTGTATGCTCTGCCCGTGCGCATCTCATGTCTGCTCTGAGACTGTGAGTGCAATTTGAGACTTCTTGGACCGTGAGTTCCAGTAGTGTGGCATCCGTGTGGCATCCGTATGGCATTCGCATGGTTTATGGCGGTCAGTCTTATCGGCTGAACCTTTTTGACACGAGAGCTGCTCTCAGAAAAGGTAATTAAGGAATGATAGGAATATGACTGCAAATTGATCGATAGCCTGATATCAGTCGATGTAACTATCCCTCAAGTCAATGCTCAGACTCAAGTGATCTCAAGTGTATTGATTTTCACGGTGGTTGAAGTCTCCGAGGACCGATGTACACGATGTATGCGATGTGCGCAATGTGCGCAATGTACGACTGCGGCTACCAGCCCTACGCTGATCCACTCTGATCCCTCCACGCTGCCACGCAACGCGGCGTCCGTGGCGTCCTCCCCTAGGCAGCCTCCTGCGTTGCGAGGCATCGAGGTCTCACGCCTCGTGGCATCCCAGTTCACCCAGTTCACCTGGAAATCGTCGAAATGTGTCGAAGTGGTCCGAACATCTTCGAACATCGAACATCTAACCACGCTGAAGTCCAACGAATCAAACGTTTTGAACGTTTTGAAAATTGAAAATCATTGAAACCCCTCTAAAATCTGCTCAAGCTGTTCAACGTTTTAATATGTTTTAATCATGTTAATTCTTTAGATCATTCAAGTCAGAACTGATGAACCCAAATAAGACCTAGATGAATTGACGATGAATCAACGATCAACATTCATGCCATGATGCTTCTAGAGAAGTTTTGTTCAAGCAGAGGTAAAGAGGTCTGCATTGCACAGTCAACGATTTCCAGACGATTTCCAGGTGGAATTTGAACAGCGGTATCCGTACACTGTGCCATGCCCCGTACGGGTTCCTTAAGAGTCCCGTCCACGGGGCGTCGCAAGCTTCCGGTCGCTGGGCAAACTTTGGACTCTTCGGACTGAACTTTCAATGATTGTTGAGACAAAAATGAAAAAACACACCAGTTACACCGTAAGTTACACCTACTTACCTGATCTTACCTGATCTTACCTGATCTTACCTGATCTTACCTGATCTTACCTGATCTTACCTGATCTTACCTGATCTTACCTGATCTTACCTGATCTTACCTGATCTTACCTGATCTTACCTGATCTTACCTGATCTTACCTGAACACAAAGTTTTACTTTCTTTAACTTTATTGTCTTTCTGATGAGTCTAATTTCACTTCTTCTCCCCGGCAAAACTAAAGATAAACAAACGCTGGTGAAAGGAGCTAAGCAATTGAAGCGATGTGACACAATTTAGAGACTGTACTGATGGTGGCTGCACTTACCTGAAAAAGCAAATGAAAGCAACACGAAGTTTGTATTAGCATTTTGATGGAACCCTTACTTGACAACGCAATTCCGAGCCTTTTACTACAATGCTTCAATGATTCTTAATAGCTAAAATGTCTTCCCTCTCTGTCTTTGGCTGGTTTCCGATCTCGGTCGCAAAAACAGCGCCCGGTCTGCAGTACGCCTAGTCTTCAGCGAGTAACTGCAGCTGGTAAACAACTCGTGTTGGAGAATCTATCTACCTTTGCTGTTCATTCAGCACTTGTGGGATACCCACATATACCCACCTTTCTCAATGAGTTGTTTGACTGACTCCCAACTTAAACATCTAACCAACCAAGCGACTTCCAACAGACAGAGGGAGGGAAAAGAAAGCTGGACGACGAGTTGGAGAGAGGTGAGAAATTGAACTAGACTGAATCGCATGATAACGAAAGATGACGCATGATACAAATGATGACTAATCCCTCCTTGGGTCAAACGTGCTGTTGTTTCAATAATGCTGAGACATCTTCTAATCTGTTTGTAAATGGCCCTGCAAGTGTAAATAATCACGAAACGATTCTCCCCTGCTGCTTTGCAACATCTGCAGCACCATGAGCAGAATCAAAAGAAGGCTAAAAACAAGTCTGAACCATGGCTAGACTAAAAAATTGTGGAAGATCTAGAATCATCTCTAGAATCTTAATGGCTAGAATCATCTAGAATCCAAATGCCTTCTGTTGAGTACTTAGCACCAGCTGCAAACTGTACCCGCGAGGTCGGTCTGAATTAGATGGCAAGTATGTTGAGCCTCCTTGGGGTCAACCTGCTTGCAGTCTGCATTCTCTGTTCTCCCCGTTGCTAGCGGTACTGCAGGTAAACCACTCTTGAGACCTGCCGGTCATGTCAAAGCAATTCATATTAGAACTTCCCCGTGTCATCCCATGTCACGGTGTTCGCAAGGATAGGAATTTGGCAACATCACAGAACTCACAGAACTCACAGAACTCACAGAAGCATCGAATCGATTCGAATCGTAGATGTCGTAGATACATTGTCCAAGGACTTCAGCCAACTTGTTGCAAGGCCGTTTGACGCCTGTCATGGCATGTCGGCATGTCCCAGTTTCGCTGTCCAGCCGGTTTACCAAGAGCTGTCGCCATCGATGTGAGCAGCCAGAAGGGAGGTTTCTAAAATGGTGAACAAAGGTGACAGAAAAAACATGAGTGAAACATGTTCCGAGATTCAAGGTCCTGAAATACAGCAGATTTGAAAGAAACCTCCAAGAACCGTATTGAAAAAGAAGGTCAATCTACAAGAAGTATCCGAGCATTCAAATGGTGAAATTGCCAACTTCACTTGAAGATGGGGCGAGCCTTCCAGAATGAAAACCATACAATTATATATATATGTATAATTATATATATATTATATTATTTTGATTTTC